TTTAAGCATTTTTTTCAAAAGCTCAACTTATCCTCTATTGATTGTTTAAGTTTTATTCAAATCGGGTTAATTATATAGAAGTTATAAACTATCAGTTAACATTTATAAAAATTACCTTAAAAAATTATTCGTAAATGAGATGTTCAACTTTGACAAGCTACGTCTCAAGCTGTATTGAAATTGAAGAGCTTTTCAAACATTATTGGAAAAGCTCAACACCTCCTTTATTGATTTTAAAAAATTTGAACTGATCGGGCTAAATATATAAAATTTATATATCATTTAAGATTTGTAAAATTTAGTTTTAAAAGGTTTTCGTAAATGAGTTGCTCTAGTTTGATGCACTATGGCCCAATATCCGTTGCAACTGGACAGCTTTTTAAACATTATTTCAAAAGCTCAACTCTTTCTGTATTAATGTTGCAAGTTTTCTTCACATCGGTAGAGTTATATATAAGTTATATATCATTTAACATTTAAAAAATCTTCATTAAATCGTTTTTTTTTTTTTAATGAGTGTTTAAACTTTGACGCACTATGGCTAAAGCTGTTTGAAACTGTACAGTTTTTTTTAACATTATTCTAAAAGCTTAACTCTTACTCTATTGTTTTTTCCAATTTTCGTTCTGATCGGTGAAGTTGTATGGAAGTTATATAAATTTATATTTTATATAAAATTTATAATAAAACGTTTTTGATAAATAGTATATTTAGTTTGAAAGCACTATGGCTCAAGAAGTTTAATAAATGGTAAGCTTTTTAAAATGTATTATAAAAGCTTAATACTTTTTCTATTAATACAAAACAAATTGTTCCGATCGGGCGTGTAATATAGAAAATTTAAACCATTTAACTTTTGTAAAAAGTTTGTCGTTTTTAAACTGCTCTACTTTGCTGCACCATGGGCTAAGCTGTGTTTAAAATGTAAAGCTCCTCAAACTATATTCTGAGAGCTAAACTGCTCCTCTATTAATATAGCAAGTTTTTTTGTCGATCGGGATAGTATTATATGTAGTATCTAAACGTTTTAAGATATTTGTAATTGTCTCATTTAAAAACTTTGAAAAATGTTCAACTTTGACGCACTATGGCTTAAGGTGTGTATAAAATTAATATCTTTGCAATAGATATTCTGAAAGGTAATATTCTTTGCTATTGCTACACCAAGCGTCATACCGATCGGGCCAGTTTTATAAAAGTTTGAGAACACTGAATATTTGTAAAAACTTAATTTCTAAGCAAACGATTAACTCAACTTTGGTATCCAAAAATTAGACTTGGACTCAAACTAATTTTTTCCAAAAATAATATTCTGAAAGCTTAACTTCTTCTCTATAAATATTTCAACAATTCGTTCTAATCCGACCATTAGTTCAAAAGTAATTCGCAATTTAACAAAACCTGCAATATTAGGTTTTTTTTAATTCGGAATCTTTCCTAATTTCAAAATTGTTTAACAATTTATTAATTATTTAATAATATAATATGTCATTAAGTTTATTTTTATACATTTTATTATTGTTATTTCCATTTTGTAATATAGTTTTTTCCATTTTGTAATTATTAATTGATTATCTTTGTTTTTTTTTTTTTTTTGTTAAGAAAATATTGTATTTATTTGCCTTTTTATTATTATTCTTTTTAATATATAATTAACAAATTAATGCCATGATTACAAAGTTTTTGTTTGTGGTTAATGATTTGTATTAATTTAATTTTGAATTTTATTGTTTTTTAAGTTTTTTTTTAGAAATTTACTTTACATAATGATGTCTTTTACATAAGTACATATTTATTTTGCTTGTTTTCTTTCAGTGTATTTATACTGATTATAATTTTACTGCTTTTCAAAAGGGAGGTTTAATAAATAATGTTTTTTTCATGGAGTTTTTGCTTTATTAATATCTTTTTTTCTTATATATTTTTTTATTATTTTTTTATAAAATAAATCAGTCTATGAAATAAGTTTTTTTTTTTGGTTTAATTTTATATAATTTTATAAGGTTTTTTTCTTGGGAGTAAAGGGGCTTAAAAGTTGTTATAATGGGCTCACTTTCAAAGGGGATGCCATCCTCTTTTTGCAAACTAAAAGCAATTCAACAGAAATTAAAAAGATGATAGCTTAAAGATAAAATCTGATCTATAGTAAGAATATAGACTGATCTATAGTCCAGACTTTGCTATGGACAATACTATAGATTGGTTTATAGTCAAGACTATGGACTGGTTTTAAGTCTAAACTAAACTATATAGACTAGTCTATAGTCAAGACTATAGACTGGTCTATAGTCAACACTATAGACTGGTTTATAGTCAAGACTTTAGACTGGTCTATAGTCAAGACTATAGACTGGTCTATAGTCAAGACTATAGACTGGTCTTTAGTCAAGACTATAGACTGGTCTATAGTCAATACTATAGGCTGGTCTTTAGTCAAGACTATAGACTGGTCTTTAGTCAAGACTATAGACTGGTCTTTAGTCAAGACTATAGACTGGTCTTTAGTCAAGACTATAGACTGGTCTATAGTAAAGACTATAGACTGGTCTTTAGTCAAGACTATAGACTTTTCTATAGTCAAGACTATAGATTGGTCTATAGTCAAGACTATAGACTAGTCTATAGTCAAGACTATAGACTAGTCTATAGTCAAGACTATAGACTGGTCTATAGTCAAGACTATAGATTGGTCTATAGTCAAGACTATAGACTGGTCTTTAGTCAAGACTATAGACTGGTCTATAATCAAAACTATAGACTGGTCTAAAGTCAAGACTATGGACTGGTCTATAGTCAAGACTATAGACTGGTCTATAGTCAAGACTATAGACTGGTCTATAGTCAAGACTATAGACTGGTTTATAGTCAAGACTATAGACTGGTCTATAGTCAAGACTATAGACTGGTCTATAGTCAAGACTATAGACTGGTCTATAGTCTTGACTATAGACTGGGGTATAGTCAAGATTATAGATCGGTCTATACTCAGTTATAGACTGGGGTATAGTCAAGACTATAGACTGGTCCATAGACTATAGACCAAATTATATATAGTCAAGACTGTAGACTGGTCTATTGTCAAGACTATAGATTGGTCTATAGTCAAGACTATAAACTGGTCTTTAGTCAAGACTATAGACTGATCTATAGTCAAGACTATAGACTGGTCTATAGTCAAGACTATAGACTGGTCTATAGTCAAGATTATAAACTGGTCTATATTCAAGACTATAGACTGGTCTATAGTCTTGACTATTGACTGGGGTATAGTCAATTATAGACTGGGGTATAGTTAAGACTATAGACTGGTCCATAGACCATAGACTATAGACCAAATTATAGGCCAGTCTATAGTCCTGGCTTGTCTAGTCTATTATCTAGTCTATAGTCTTGTCTAAAGTCTAGTCTATAGTCTAGCCTATAGTCAAGTATATAGTTTAGTCAATAGTTTAGTCCATAGTCTAGTCTATAATCAAGTCTATAATCTAGTCTATAGTCTAGTCCATAGTCTAATCTATAGTCTGGTCTACATATTAAAGTCTATAGTCTAGTATATAGTTTAGTCTATAGTCAATATTGTCGTCTGTGGGGTAGTTTGTAATGTAGTTTCTGGCATATTCTATAGTTTAGTGTATGGTCAAATATAGTCTATAGTCTAGTATACGGTATTGCTGTAGTCTAGTCTATAGTCTACTCTATAGTCTAGTTTATAGTCTGGTCTATAGTCTAGTCTATAGTCTAGTCGATAGTCTAGTCGATAGTCTAGTCTATGGTCTAGTCTATAGTCTAGTCTATAGTCTGGTCTATAGTCTAGTCTATAGTCTAGTCTATAATCTAATCTATAGTCTAGTCTATAGACTATAGACTAAACTATAGACTAGACTATAGACTAGACTATAGTCTAGTCTATAGTCTAGTCTATAGTCTAGTCTATAGTCTAGTCTATAGTCTAGTCTATAGTCTAGTCTATAGTCTAGTCTATAGTCTAGTCTATAGTCTAGTCTATAGTCTAGTCTATAGTCTAGTCTATAGTCTAGTCTATAGTCTAGTCTATAGTCTAGTCTATAGTCTAGTCTATAGTTTAGTCTATAGTCTAGTCTATAGTCTAGTCTAGTCTATAGTCTAGTCTAGTCTATAGCCCTAGTCTATAGTCTAGTCTATAGTCTAATCTATAGTCTAGTCTATAGTCTAGTCTAGTCCTAGTCTATAGTCTAGTCTATAGTCTAGTCTATGGTCTCGTCTATAGTCTAGTCTATAGTCTAGTCTATAGTTAGTCTATAGTCTGTTCTATAGTCTAGTCTATAGTCTAGTCGATAGTCTAGTCGATAGTCTAGTCTATGGTCTAGTCTATAGGCAAGTCTATAGGTCTGGTCTATAGTCTAGTCTATAGTCTAGTCTATAATCTAATCTATAGTCTAGTCTATAGTCTAGTCTATAGTCTAGTCTATAGTCTAGTCTATAGTCTAGTCTATAGTCTAGTCTATAGTCTAGTCTATAGTCTAGTCTATAGTCTAGTCTATAGTCTAGTCTATAGTCTAGTCTATAGTCTAGTCTATAGTCTAGTCTATAGTCTAGGTCTATAGTGTAGTCTATAGTCTAGTCTATAGTCTAGTATCTAGTCTATAGTCTAGTCTATAGTCTAGTCTATAGTCTAGTCTATAGTCTAGTCTATAGTCTAGTCTATAGTCTAGTCTATAGTCTAGTCTATAGTCTAGTCTATAGTCTAGTCTATAGTCTAGTCTATAGTCTAGTCTATAGTCTAGTCTATAGTCTAGTCTATAGTCTAGTCTATAGTCTAGTCTATAGTCTAGTCTATAGTCTAGTCTACAGTCTAGTCTACAGTCTAGTCTATAGTCTAGTCTATAGTCTAGTCTATAGTCTAGTCTACAGTCTAGGCTATAGTCTAGTCTATATTCAAGTCGATCGTCTAGTCTGGTCTATAATCTAGACTTATTCCAGTCTGTAGTCTAGCCAATAGACTTACAGTCTTGTCTATAATATAGTCTGTAATCTATTCTATAGTCTTGTCTATATTGTAGTATATAGTCTAGGCTATATAGTAGTATACATTCTAGTCTAGTCTATAGTTTGGTAAAAAGTCTAGTTTTAAGTCACTAGGCTTTCTTTGGAAGGGTAAAATTTTCTTTAAAATATTGTGTAATATAAAATAATCGTAATTTTTATATAAAGTAACCGGTTTTTATTTAATAAAAAACCAGACTAGTTTTTCTTAAAATTAACATAAATTGCATATTTTTTGTTTAAACTAAATTTTCTAAAATTAATTAAATTATAATATATTTTAATTACTAAGTCAATTATTACAAGCCGATTAAATGGTTTTTGAAACCAAATATTCATTTTTACTAAAACCCCCTGTTGCTAATATCCTTTCTTTGTTTTAATAAAGCTTAAAAGGTTTTAAGCTTAATTAGACTTAAATATTAATAATTTTTTGACAATTGTGTTTAATAATGTCTGTCTTTTGTTTAGTTTTAAATTAAAACCCGAAAAAAACCTGTTCAAAAAAGCTGTTAAGGGGCGTGTTTGTGGTGACAGGAGAAGAAGGAGGAGGTCGAGTCTCATTTAAGTGCAACAATGATATGAATGGCCACCACCACCACTACCACTGCCTGCCCCATTCGAAGAGGAACCATTTCTTAATATATAATCATTGTGGACCAAAGCATTGGTAGAAGTTTTACTATAACTGGTTTGCATTTGATGTGAAGAGCTGTTAATCGAGTGCATGGTTTTACAGGAAAACTGTCGATGATTGGCCGAGTCCTGGGAGAAGAAAAGAAAGAAAAGATTTTTAATATGTTTTAGTTAAGGGTTTTGGTTCGGATACCTTGGGCTGTATGGGAAAACAACACCATAGAACAAAAGCTACAAATGCCACCACCGTGCCCACCAATAATATAAAATCTTCTATAGTCTGGAAGTTGATTAAATAAAGATTTGTTTCTATATAATTTGCAGTTTTGAAGAATGGGTTTAATAAGAAAATTTACTTACCGGCTCTTCGCCCAATAATACATGATTTATTAGATACGAAAAATCATCAAAGGGAGTCATTTTAAGGTTTCTTTTGATATACTTTTTTTAACAGTGTTTCCAACAATGTAATTGTTTATAAGATTTATTAGTTTCTTTTAACAACTCAGCAACAATAGTTTATTTTTTTTAATAAAAAAAATTTAATTTCGTAATTGCAATGTCAAATAAGACAACGGGTCTTTGATTTTACACTCTCACTCTCTGTTTAATTGTGATTTAAGCAAGCTCCTTTATTTGTTTAAATGTCAGTCTGGACTCTCTTGGTTACCGTCTCTCTTTTGTCCTGTTAATGCTCTCTCCTTTAATAAATGGGGTGTTTTATGTTGTGATTGTCATTGCATTTAATAAATTACAAAAACAAAGAAAACAACAAATTTCGAATCAAAAACAACAAAAGTTCCTTAGAAACCTTAAACGTGGACTTATTTATGGAAACAACACAACTTGCTCTTTTTTTAAATAAATAATTAAATTTTTCTTTAAGATAATTCATAAAAATTTCTTCTTTTCTTTTCTTGTTTGTTTTGTTTTTGTCCAAAAACAAAATAAATCTCTTTTAAAAGGACCTTTTCTTTAGAACTGTCAAAATATTAACTAACTGTGCTCTAACAAATAAAGGATTTATTTGCTTTTGAGCGACACTAACTAAGGGATGTAAACAAACCAACAAACAGGGTTGTATACGTACGCATGTTAAATTTAAACCAGAGATGTTTAAAAACACAAGTAACCTATAAATTATTCTTCACTATAGACTAGACTATAGATTTGACTATAGATATATAGACTATAGACTAGACTATAGACTAGACTATAGACTAGACTAAAGACTAGACTATAGACTAGACTATAGACTAGACTATAGTCTAGACTATAGACTAGACTATAGACTAGACTATAGACTAGACTATAGACTAGACTATAGACTAGACTATAGACTAGACTATAGACTAGACTATAGACTAGACTATAGACTAGACTAGACTAGACTATAGACTAGACTATAGACTAGACTATAGACTAGACTATAGACTAGACTATAGACTAGACTATAGACTAGACTATAGACTAGACTATAGACTAGACTAGCTATAGACTAGACTATAGACTAGACTATCAGGACTAGACTATAGGACTAGACTATAGCCTAGACTAGTAGACTAGACTATAGCCTAGACTATCGACTAGACTATAGACTAGACTAAACTAGACTACTAGACTAGACATAGACGACTATAGACTAGGACTATAGACTAGACTATAGGACTAGACTATGAGACTAGACTATAGACTATAGGCATATAGACTAGACTATAGACTAAGACTATAGACTACACTATAGACTAGACTATAGACTAGACTATAGACTAACTATAGACTAAGACTCGACTAGACTATAGACTAGACTATAGACTAGACTATAGACTAGGACTATAGACTAGACTATAGACTAGACTATAGAACAGACAATAGACTAGACTATAGACTAGACTATATGACTAGACCTATAGACTAGGCTAGTCTATAGAGCTAGACTATAGACTAGACTAGAGTACTAACTATAGGCTAGACTAGACTAGTACTAGTAGAGTAGACTATAGACTAGACTATAGACTAGTACTATAGTCTAGCCTATAGATAGACTATAGACTAGACTATAGACTAGACTATAGACTAGACTATAGACTAGACTATAGACTAGACTATAGACTAGACTATAGACTAGACTATAGACTAGACTATAGACTAGACTATAGACTAGACTATAGACTAGACTATAGACTAGACTATAGACTAGACTATAGACTAGACTATAGACTAGACTATAGACTAGACTATAGACTAGACTATAGCTAGACTATAGACTAGACTATAGACTAGACTATAGACTAGACTATAGACTAGATAGACTAGACTATAGACTAGACTATAGACTAGACTATAGACTAGACTATAGACTAGACTATAGACTAGACTATAGACTAGACTATAGACGACTAGACTAGACTATAGACTAGACTATAGACTAGACTATAGACTAGACTATAGACTAGACTATAGACTAGACTATAGACTAGACTATAGACTAGACTATAGACTAGACTATAGACTAGACTATAGACTAGACTATAGACTAGACTATAGACTAGACTATAGACTAGACTATAGACTAGACTATAGACTAGACTATAGACTAGACTATAGACTAGACTATAGACTAGACTATAGACTAACTATAGACTAGACTATAGACTAGACTATAGACTAGACTATAGACTAGACTATAGACTAGACTATAGACTAGACTATAGACTAGACTATAGACTAGACTATAGACTAGACTATAGACTAGACTATAGACTAGACTATAGACTAGACTATAGACTAGACTATAGACTAGACTATAGACTAGACTATAGACTAGACTATAGACTAGACTATAGACTAGACTATAGATAGACTATAGACTAGACTATAGACTAGACTATAGACTAGACTATAGACTTCAATATAGACTAGACTATAGACTAGACTATAGACTGGACTATAGACTAGACTATAGACTAGACTATAGACTAGACTATAGACTAGGCTGTAGACTATACTATAGACTAGACTATAGACTAGACTATAGACTAGACTATAGACTAGACTATAGACTTGACTATAGACTAGACTATAGACTAGACTAGCTATAGACTAGACTATAGACTAGACTACAGACTAGACTATAGACTTCACTATAGACTAGACTATAGACTAGACTATAGACTAGACTATAGACTAGACTATAGACTAGACTATAGACTAGGCTATAGACTAGGCTATAGACTAGACTATAGACTAGGCTATAGACTAGACTATAAACGGAAGGGAGTGTGGTTTAGTACGGAGACGCTTAGGCGAGTCGTGCATGTTTTCCACATGGGTTGAATACATCTTTTGAAGATTCCACACCTCCTGCGCAACAAAAAAAAAAAAAAAGACTAGACTGTAGACTAGACTATAGACTAGACTTTAAACAAGACTATAGACTCGACTATAGACTAGACTATAGACTAGACTATAGACTAGACTATAGACTAGACTATAGACTAGACTATAGACTTGACTATAGACTAGAACTATAAACTAGACTATAGACTATAAACTAGACTATAGGCTAGACTGTAGATAGTTTATAGACTAGACTATAGACTAGATTATAGACTAGACTATAGAATAGATAATAGAATAGATGAGACCATAGACTAGACTATAGACTAGACTATAGACTAGACTATAGACTAGACTATAGACTAGACTATAGACTAGACTATAGACTAGTCTATAGACTAGACTATAGACTAGACTTAGACTAGACTATAGACTAGACTATAGACTAGACTATAGACTAGACTATAGACTAGACTATAGACTAGACTATAGACTAGACTATAGACTAGACTATAGACTAGACTATAGACTAGACTATAGACTAGACTATAGACTAGACTATAGACTAGACTATAGACTAGACTATAGACTAGACTATAGACTAGACTATAGACTAGACTATAGACTAGACTATAGACTAGACTATAGACTAGACTATAGACTAGACTATAGACTAGACTATAGACTAGACTATAGACTAGACTATAGACTAGACTATAGACTAGACTATAGACTAGACTATAGACTAGACTATAGACTAGACTAGACTAGACTATAGACTAGACTATGACTAGACTATAGACTAGACTATAGACTAGACTATAGACTAGACTATAGACTAGACTATAGACTAGACTATAGACTAGACTATAGACTAGACTATAGACTAGACTATAGACTAGACTATAGACTAGACTATAGACTAGACTATAGACTAGACTATAGACTAGACTATAGACTAGACTATAGACTAGACTATAGACTAGACTATAGACTAGACTATAGACTAGACTATAGACTAGACTATAGACTAGACTATAGACTAGACTATAGACTAGACTATAGACTAGACTATACTAGACTATAGACTAGACTAGACTAGACTATAGACTAGACTAGAGACTAGACTATAGACTAGACTATAGACTAGACTATACTAGACTAGACTAGACTATAGACTAGTCTACAGTCTAGACTATAGACTAGACTATAGACTAGACTGTAGACTAGACTATAGACTAGACTATAGACTAGACTATAGACTAGACTATAGACTAGACTATAGACTAGACTATAGACTAGACTATAGACTAGACTATAGACTAGACTATAGACTAGACTATAGACTAGACTATAGACTAGACTATAGACTAGACTATAGACTAGACTATAGACTAGACTATAGACTAGACTATAGACTAGACTATAGACTAGACTATAGACTAGACTATAGACTAGACTATAGACTAGACTATAGACTAGACTATAGACTAGACTATAGACTAGACTATAGACTAGACTAGACTAGACTATAGACTAGACTATAGACTAGACTATAGACTAGACTAGACTAGACTATAGACTAGACTATAGACTAGACTATAGACTAGACTATAGACTAGACTATAGACTAGACTATAGACTAGACTATAGACTAGACTATAGACTAGACTATAGACTAGACTATAGACTAGACTATAGACTAGACTATAGACTAGACTATAGACTAGACTATAGACTAGACTATACTAGACTATAGACTAACTATAGACTAGACTATAGACTAGACTATAGACTAGACTATAGACTAGACTATAGACTAGACTATAGACTAGACTATAGACTAGACTATAGACTAGACTATAGACTAGACTATAGACTAGACTATAGACTATAGACTAGACTATAGACTAGACTATGGACTAGACTATAGACTAGACTATAGACTAGACTATAGACTAGACTATAGACTAGACTATAGACTAGACTATAGACTAGACTATAGACTAGACTATAGACTAGACTATAGACTAGACTATAGACTAGACTATAGACTAGACTATAGACTAGACTATAGACTAGACTATAGACTAGACTATAGACTAGACTATAGACTAGACTATAGACTAGACTATAGACTAGACTATAGACTAGACTATAGACTAGACTATAGACTAGACTATAGACTAGACTATAGACTAGACTATAGACTAGACTATAGACTAGACTAGACTAGACTATAGACTAGACTATAGACTAGACTATAGACTAGACTAGACTAGACTAGACTAGACTATAGACTTCAATATAGACTAGACTATAGACTAGACTATAGACTAGACTATAGACTAGACTATAGACTAGACTATAGACTAGACTATAGACTAGACTATAGACTAGACTATAGACTAGGCTGTAGACTATACTATAGACTAGACTATAGACTAGACTATAGACTAGACTATAGACTAGACTATAGACTAGACTATAGACTAGACTATAGACTAGACTAGGCTATAGACTAGACTATAGACTAGACTACAGACTAGACTATAGACTTCACTATAGACTAGACTATAGACTAGACTATAGACTAGACTATAGACTAGACTA